GCCCAAAGACTAATATTGGAGATGGTAATAACAGACCTTAAATTGGCTTTTGCTTCTTGGTGTAACTTTATCTGCAATATTCTACTCAAAACCACTTAGTATTCATTGTCTCATGAGATTATTTCTTGTAAATTTTTAAATTAGATGAAATTTAATATACCTTCAGAATTATGAATCCAGCTGGAGGATAAAAAATCCAAATGCAGCAAGAACTTTCAGATGAACAATCTAATATTGTTTGGAAATGCTAAGTTACAGAACCTTCTCAAAGAATTTTCTGGTGAAAGAATACTTTTGAGTACATACAATGAATAATGCTTTCCTTTTTTATAAAACGGGCTGATATATGTTACTTCTTAAGGAAACTATCACTTCTTTTACAATCTTTTCAAAATATTTTCTACATGTGTCACTAATGTTTTCAATTTGGAATGGAGAAATATATATATATATATAAAATATATTTAATTCTTATGATTTAAAAGAAATTTTGGGATGGGCGTGGTGGCTCATGCCTATAATCCTAGCACTTTGTCACTTTGTGAAGCCAATGCAAGGCAGGAGGATTGCTTGAGGCTAGGAGCTTGAGCACCATAATGAGACCCCATCTCTACAAAAAAATTTAAGAAATATTATCTGGGTCTGGTGCCATCTCCTGTAGTCCCAGTTACTTGAGAGCCTGAGGTGGGAGAATTGCTTGAGCCCAGGAGTTGTAGGTTGCAGTTACCTATGATCGAGGCACAAGGGTGACAGAGTAAAACCCTATCTGAAAAAAAAAAAAAAAAGAGAGAGATTTTTGGGGTCTTTCATCCCAATGGGATATTTTTTATACTATAAGGCAAGATTTTGCTAAAATGTGCACAGGTACCCTGAAGGTTTAAATATAATTTCTCAATTTATCCAGGTATCCACTTGCTTTAGAATGGACCTGGGGAGTATAGAAATTTTATTTCTAGTCTCGGATCTTTCATTAACCAGCTCTGTTATTATCTTAGGCAAATTATTTGACTAATAATTTAGTCAAAAGTTTTTTGATAAAAATAATCTGAAAATGTGCAATATATGGCAGTCAATTAAAAAAGATACCCCTTTGGGATTACTTTCTACATATGGGAAACCAAAAGGTTTGACTAGATGAGTCTAAATCATTCCTAATTTTAAATTTCTGTGAATCTTTGGTAATAGAGTTAAAATTCTATTATCTAAAGAGGGTACTAAGAGAAGAAGTACTTATCTTTTGCTAGAGGTGGAGATAAGAGGTAGTAGCTGGAACCTCAGGTTGGATATAATATACCTCTGCTAGCTCTTCTTTGTATGTATCTTACAAATATAAAGCATTGCATATGCATAGCATTGCTGTGTTGAATGGTACATACTCTGGTATAAATATGGAGAGGAGGATGGATGGACGATCAGGCGATAGTTCTTTTCCCTTCTACATTTTAAAAATGCATTAATACTAGGTCACACCACTCTCTCACATGGTAGGGGTATTAGGAAAAAATGTTCTTTTGAGAGACACTGCTGCTTCTATACCTCTAAATATCATCTCTCCAATCCTGTCTCTATACACCTCGGGTTTAACCACATCCAATTATTTTCTAAGACATTATAAAGTATTCACTGCATTCATGACAATAGGCTATCTCCTTGGAGCACTGGCTCATCTGCCTTCAAATACATTATTGGAGAAAATTTATTCAGTTCAAAGAAACAGTATTTCTTACAAACTTTTTGGAAAATATTCCTCAAAATGCTCTAACTTTGACATCCATTTACTGCTGGCTTAATGATCAAAAGGATTTAGAGAGCACAAAGCATTTTGAAGTTGAAGTGATTTAAGTGTCTGTTCTGCCATATCCCTTGTTCTTGAATGTGTTCACTCACTCAATGAATTTATAGAACCAATTTGGGAGAAGAACAATGTTTCTGCCTTCCCTAAGAAATTCCTCAAATTCCTTACAATGACAATCAAAAGAAGATCTGAGTTGCTTTTTGTGGGACATTTTTTATATATTCAGTAGCAGTAAAAGTTTTGATTGTTCTGGTTTCAAAAAGAAAATCACAAAATTTCCTTATTTCATTTACCTTTAAAGGCATGGTTTGGAGCTCTGCAGTAGATAAAAGCATAATTAATTACAGACAGAGTGCCTAAGGCATGAACTTTGTAATTAGACAGATCTGGATTCAAATATTAGCTCAGACATTTGCTACCTTTAAGATTTTGGGTATTACCTTTAAGGAATCTGACCCTCAATTTTCATCTGTAAAATGAGACCCAGTGTTTAGTGTTCTAAGTTTTAAATGAGATAAAACATGTAATAACTTAGGACAGTCCTTGAAATATATGAAATTCTCAGTGAATAATAGCTATTATTAACTGACTGCTAATTTTTTAATTTTATCTTTAAAATTTGAGGATGATTTAAAAAAAAACTAAAATATCATTATCACTCCTCAGAGAAATGACCAATGACTCCTTGCTATCATTAAATATTCAGTTAATGTTCACATTTCCCCAGTAGGTTTATTCAAATTAGGATCTAAACAAGGCTCACACCTTAAATTTGGCTGACGTTTTTCTTAATAATTTTTAATCTGTAGGTTTCTCTCCCTCTTTTTTCTTTTTTCATTGGTCTCGATTTGCTGAGGAAAATGGATCATTAGTTCTGTAGTGTTTCTCACATTCTTCTTGTTTGTTTGGTTGCATCAGCCACAGTGTTATTGAAAATGTTAACTTAAAAAAATAAGAATTTTAAATTAAACACTAATTGAAATGAGGTAGTTCATTTGGCAAGAGCCAACCAGACTTTAAATTCCATGAGATCATGCTTTATTACTTCTTTGCACGCTAATGATACAGTGCAAGGCAAATAATAAATTCTGTTGCTTGATCAATTGCTGCTACAGTTTATTAGTCCCCTCCAAAATTCATGTTGAAATTTAGTCCCCAGTGTGACAGTATTGGTGAGGTGGGGCCTTTAGGAGGTGATTGGGTCATGAAGGCTTTGCCCTCATGAATGGATTAATCCATTTGTAGATTAATGGAGTAATTGGCTAATGGATTATTAATCAACTGTCATGAGAGCAGGACATGTGGGTTTATAATAAGGGAAAGAGAGACCAGAGTGACTATATTGGCCTGTTGAGCCCCCTCATGCCAGGTGATGCCCTGCACCACCCCAGGGCTCTTGAGAGAGTCCCCCCAGCAAGAGGGCTCTCACCCATGTGGCACCTCAGTCTGAGTCTTTTCAGACTCCATAATAAGAAATAAATTTCTTCTTTTAATAAATGACCCAGTTTCAGGTATTCTGTTATAAGCAACAAAAAAAAAAAAAAACCAGACCAATACAGTTACTGAGAGTAATGATTCTACATTTGACTGGACATATGTTAGCACTTACATTAAGAGGAGAGTAAGAATTAGTAATTTAAGAATTTGGTCTTGCTTTTGTTGTTTGACACTAAAAAAAAATTATTAGACATTTTGAACCTCCACTTGCAGGTCTATAAAAGAAGGATGCTCTGCCTCATAGATTTGCCATGGGAATGAGAAAATACATGAGTGGTAATATAAATGTTAATAGAATAATAACTGTTTTTCTTGTTGTATAAAAAGCATCAATACTGGCTGGGTGCAGTGGCTCACACTTGTAATTCCAGCACTTTTAGAGGATGAGGCAGGAGGATCTCATCAGTTCGAGACCAGCCTGAGCAACAGAGCGAGACCCTTTCTCTACAAAAAATAGAAAAATCAGCCAGGTATGGTGGCACATGCCGGTAGTCCCAGCTACTTGGGAGGCTGAGACAGGAGGATGGCTTGAGCCCAGCCCAGGAATTTGAGGCTGCAGTGAGCTATCATGACACCACAGTACTCTAGCCTGGGGGACAGATCAAGACCTTGTCTCAAACAAACAAACAAAAAACCCCAAAAAGCATCAATACTGATATTTAATTTTAACATCAGAAGTTGGATAAAAGGCTGAATGGACTTGCTGAATGAAAAAATACCCTTCTGTTTAAAGAATGGAAAATGATTTTTTCTACGCAGTTTCCTTATCTCTCTTGGTCATTAATCATACAGTTTTTTTTTTTATTTTTTATTTTTTTTGAGACAGTCTCGCTTTGTTGCCCAGGCTAGAGTGAGTGCCGTGGCATCAGCCTAGTTCACAGCAACGTCAAACCCCTGGGCTCAAGCAATCCTCCTGCCTCAGCCTCCCGAGTAGCTGGGACTACAGGCATGTGCCACCATGCCCAGCTAATTTTTTCTTTATATATTAGTTGGCCAATTAATTTCTTTCTATTTATAGTAGAGACGGGGTCTCGCCCTTGCTCAGGCTGGTTTCGAACTCCTGACCTGGAGCAATCTGCCCGTCTCGGCCTCCCAGAGTGCTAGGATTACAGGCGTGAGCCACCGCGCCCGGCCAATCATACAGTTTTATATGCCAATCATACAGTTTTATAAAGTTTCAGAGAATGAAACTTTTCCTGATTGTTTCACCAAGTGAGAATCTAATCGCAATTATGACTGCCTTAGGTGGCAAAATGAGACCATTGACTTTATCATATATTCCCGGAACTCTCAATCAGACAGCCTCACAGCTACTCTGAAGACTCACCTCCTATCCAAAGAAGGCAATGGAAGGAGAGTCAACTAATTTTTAACCAATGATGAATTAAAATGGAATATCCATAGAAATAAATATGAGGCTGGCACAGTGGCTCACGCCTGTAATCCTAGCACTCTGGGAGACTGAGCTGGGAGGATTGCTTGAGGTCAGGAATTTGAGACCAGCCTGAGTAAGAGCAAAACCCTGTCTCTACAAAATATAGAAACATTAGCCATGGGCGGTGGCACATGCTTGTAGTCCCAGCCACTTAGGAGGCTGAGGCAGAAGGATTGCTTAAGCCCAGGAATTTGAGGTTGCAGTGAGCTATGATGATGGCACCGCACTTTAGCTGGGTCAACAGAGCAAGACTCTGTCTCCAAAGAAAAAAGACAGTAAAGAAAGAAAGGAGGAAGGAAAGGAGGGAGGGAGAGAAATCAATATGAATGTATATAAATACAAGAATACAAATGTCATTACAAAAAGTGCCATTTTAATGAATACTAGATAAATTTGTAATGAGGGTCATTTGGAGTAAAAACAACACCCTAATTTCAGTTTTAGCAAAAACTCAACAAATGCCTAGTGTCTAAACACCTAATATGTTTAACGATTTGAAAACACGGCTCTTAAATTCCATTTAGAATTCATTTATGAAAATTTTGATGCACAATTAAGATATGTATTGTACTGGGTCATGCACAACAGTGCATGACCAGGAAATAGTATAGTTGCAGAATTGCAGGAATGTTGGAACATATGAGGCAGGCTCTGCTTGTGGGTTTAACTCAAGGTTAACATCTATCTATTGTCTTTGGTTTGGACTTAAGGTCTTTTTAGTAAAGGAATAATAAGCCACACATGCATACACAAATGAGTCAGAACAGTGGTTCTCATCCAGGGGAGACTATTTAAAACTACTAACATCCAGGCTTCATCCAAGATGAATTACAAGTCAGAATTTTTGGAGATATGACCTGCATTTATTGCTATTAGGTCAAAAAGCTAGAATCGTCTCCCTTTAATTTTGTCCTTAGTTAAAAATAGGGAGCTAGTGGTAAAATTAATTTTGAAAAACCATTTAAAATTTGAAAATTACAATAGATCAGGAAGGAAGCAAAATGAGGTAACTGTTATATTTGTACCCTCTGCGAGCACAATTACAAACCCCAGACTGAGCCATTGTTTAGGCTTTTGGCTCCTTTAGATTGTTTCTTTTTCATCTAGAGATTACTTCCTTTTCAAGACTAGTCAACTTTAAAGACTCTATAGACAATTTAGGTTTTCTAACAAGGGTTTTTTTTTTTCTTGAGACTACTCTTATATGTGAAATATCTTAGGAAAGTCATTTACTCAGTCAAAAAATACTGGTAAAAGATTTTTTTCATAAAAAAAAAACATCATAAAAATCTGATCCAAGATATCAAACTGTTTTTGACAGTTTTTTTCCTCAATGACTGTTCGAAGAGTTTTAATGTATAACCAGATAGAAAGGAAGTTGCCTTTGGAAAATCTGTTTCATTTTCAAGAATGATTTATATCTGGGGATAGAAGAAAAAGAAAGGTTCCTTGTGCAACTTATTTCAAACTTCTCTAAGTTGTTATGGGTTTGGAAATTAGAATATTTTACCATTTATCCTACAGCTTTGACTGTTTTGAGACATATATCTTACTGCCAGTACTGAAGTAGGATGAATTAATTAATCAGGAAACACAATTTTTTAGGTGAATTTTCTAAGTTGTGAATTTTTCAAACAACATGCAAATAGATATTCTATTAGTTTACTCTTTGGTCTTATTACATCATCATTAAATTTCAATTACTCTCTGAAAACTTATTCTATAGCAATTAATCACCTTTCCTTTGTATTTCATTTACATTGTTGCCCAACCATTTTTCATTATTAGTTTGGACTTAACCCAGTTGGTTGAAAAGAAAATAGATAGATGACTTCACAAAGTCCTTCCAGACTTATATTTTGATAAACTTACGACTGAAATTAATCTTGGCCACACCTTGGTGAGTTAATTCTATTGATCTGTATGACAGAACCATAAGTAAGCCAACCTTGTCAATTTCAAATTATTGAGAATAGCTAGAAAAGTGAAAAGTTTATTGAATATTCTGGATTCAGTAGTACATGATCAGAAAATATCTTTATTTTTTTTGTCGCCCTATATCACACCTGATTTTTAGACTTTCCCTTCCCTAATGTTTGATAGCCTTTTTTTGTTGTTGTTGTTAAAAACAGATCCTGTAGCTTGTCAGTCATTAGCAATTGTTAAAAAGTCCACTCTAAACCAACATTCTAATGTTGCTTCCAATTTAAAGTTTTTTTCCCTTTAGGGAAAAATTCAGGTTCAGCCCTGAAATTGTTTTAGGGATTTAGTGGATGGGAAAGGATGGGGAGGTGTTAACTTTCAATTCCCTTATTTCAAACCCTTTCCCAATCTTCTCTCCTCATTATGCTGCATCTGGCTCTTCCAGTGTAAGTATGTATGTGTGGGAGGGCAGGGGGTTGTTGAGAGGTGAAGAGTAAAAAGGCAGGCAGTAAAGCACACTGGTTAGGACCATGGACTCTGAATTAGAGACCTGAGGTTAGATCCCCTACTACTCACTAACTTCCTAACCTTGATTATAACTCCACTTTGTCCCTTCCTCACTTATAAAATCCCAATAATGATTTTATTTTAATAATGATTTATGGTTCTGAGGATTATATGAATTAATTTATGTAAAGCATTTAGTCAGTACTTGTTAAGTGTTACTGGGTAATTTTATTGAGTTAGTTATTACTGAGTGTTATTCTTCCCCTCCCCCCCCATTGTTTTTTGGATGTTGAGTGCTCTTTACCTTGGCAGGTGTTCATCATTAGTTCTGTTTTTGTGGGATGATTTTGTATGTTCTCTGCCTTCTCCAACCACAGAGATCTCTGCACTGGAGTTTGCTGGTGCTTGCAGTGCACTTGCTGGTTGATGCGTTCCAAACTCCCTCGGCCAGTTCAGCTCTTGTTCTAATACTAGACTAATGGGGTTTTCTTCCCAGGGCAGCAAGATAGATGGAGAATGGGAAAATTCATGCATCTAGGACCAACTAAAAGCTGGAAGTACAGGCCATTCTGCCTGCTGGTCTCTCTTCTTCCCCTACCAAGGGTGGTTCTGGTTGTCTCTTGCTTACAGATTTCTTGGGGCCTCAATATATATCTTCATATGTGCTATAAACACCTGGAGACAGATGTTAGCACTCCCCCCAATACTCTCGTGAATGTGCCTACATATTTTTGCCACTCAGTAAACTTTCACCCGAGGAGTGAAGTATGTCCTGCTGAAAACTTTTACCTCTCAGTGATCCTCTTAGGGCCCCTTTTATTTGGCTTGCTTTGGGGGCAGAGCAGCACTTTCTTTTCTGCACAGTGGGGGAAGGGAGAGACACCATGACATCCTCCTCCTTGAATTCATTTCAAAGACTCCTCCTCTTCAATGAGTCTCTAACCTTCTCCAAAGTAGTCACTGTCTGCATTTGCAGAGCTTATATTTTATTGGATAAGATATACCAAAGGCATAATTTACCAATATTTTGTGGGTTGCAGTTGTGTGGCAATATGGATTTCTGCTCCTCTCCCCCCATCTCCCTACCACCTCAACCACCTGGAGCCTGATTCGTATTGAGATCAAGAAAACAGGGTTTTGGGAAATTCAACTCAAGAGGGAGACAGATATTCTTTAGCAGAATAAAATGTAAGAGATATACTAAAAGGTATTAATCTTGGTAGTATGAAGAAGCTAATGGCTTTATATTGAGCATCTAAAAGACTGACCTCAGTAAAGATGTGTTTTTTTTTTTTTTTCTCTTTTCTCTTCTGTCTTCTGTCCTCAGCAACTGAAAATCTCTGGAACAACTTGACAATGGAACATGAAGGGGTCAAACAAGGACAGACCCAACGACAAACTAGGTGGGTCTGGTTGATGAGTATAGAGTGAGGATCAAAAAGATACAAAGAGGGTTGTAGAGGCTTTGGGAGGAAGGAGACAGAAAAGGGCCCTTGGAAGACATATTTTTCTGCCTACATCTAGGTTGACCATATAAAGATGTCATAAATATTATGAACATTGGTGGAGCTGGGTGTGGCACCAGCCTTCAAGATGGCCCTCATTGATTCCAGACTTTGGGTATTCATGTCTTTATGTAGTCTCCAACATTGGAAAGGGCTGACCTGTGCAAACAATAGGACATGTAGAAATGATGGAGTTTGTTTTTAGAGGCTAGATAATTAAAAAATGTGGCTTCTGTCTTGCTATCTTGGACCACTCATTCTAGGAAAAGCCAGCTGCCATATTATGAGGACTCACGAGCAGTTCTGTCAGAGGTTCATAGGTGAGGAACTGGGACCTTCTTCCAATAGCCCCGTAAGTGAGCACTCTTGAAGGTGGATTCTCTAGCCTCAGTGAAGCCTTCAGATGGTTACAGCCAAGGCTGTATCCTCAGTCATATCTTGACTGGAACCTCATGAGGAGACCCTTAGCCAAACACCAGCTAAGATTCTCCTGAGTTCTTGACTCAAAGAAACTATGAGATAATAAATCTTTGTTGTTTTAAGTCATTATGTGTTGAGATCACTCATTATGTGGCAATAGAATACTAATACACTGAGAGATGAATTAAATAGAGAATTCACTCCAAGTTTCCACTGCCATGTAGATTCTGTAGGGGCTGAACATGTTGCTTTAATCAGGGCTATTTATTTACTCTTTTAAATTCTGTGTGTTTGCTTGACTGGCTCACCACAAGACTTTAAGACAATGGACTATACTACTCCACCCTTCAATTATAGAAGGCGTGGTGTTCAGGTTACAATTTGAAGTGCTGAAAAGAGAAATATAAGGTACAATGAAATAATATAACTTGTTAACACTGTTACTCTTTATATGCAAGAGTAACTAAATACAGTTGTGAGAAACTGAATCATATGAATAAAATTATACTGTGTACACTTGTCATAAGATTCATCGGTTTCACATTTTCCTGCTGAAAATAGTTGGGCTCTTAGTTCCTCAGTTCCTGTCTTTGTATTATATATTACAGATTCATTTCAAAACCCAAAGCCTTAAAATTGGCATTGCTTAGCAAATTAACAGTGATGTACCACAGTAGATACCTTGTTATGCTTTCTATTGTTTTATGTAACAATTTAGCAATTGCATAAAAGGACATGTACCAATGATTCTAATAATTTAAACACCATTTTGAGTTCCTCTTTAAGTGAAGTAAAACCTGTTAAAATTAATTCATTAAAAAAACCTGGCTGTATTCAGAAAGGCAATTTAAAGTAGAATGATATCACTATCTCCCTTGCTCAGATATTGCTATTTACATATTTAACATCCTGAATCGCTCTGAAGATTTCAGTACTACCTAAGCATTAGCACAAAACAAGCATGTGAACAAGATATATCTATTTATTCCTTTTTATATGGCTCTTTCCCTCCTTTAACTTTGCCATTAAACTCAGAAACCTTAACTAGTTCTCCATGTAGTAAATATTAAAGAATGCCAGATTCTGGCGCCCTCTTGTGGAGAAGTGCTCCAGGTGTTAGTCTATTGGGCAGCTCAGCTGTAGTTGGTTTAGGGAAGTGTGAAACAAATCGTTTTGCCATTTATTTGTGCAACATGATTTGAATTTCTCAAACAGTGTGACTCACTTCTTGATCAGTTACAGAACTGAGGAACTGAGATAAGTGTCTGTTAAAGCAGACATAAAACATTTAAGAAAAACTCTTGCTAAAGCAATTAAATTCTTATTAAATTTTTGATTTGTTAAATGGAATCATTGGTTCTCACTTGTGTATTGATAATAATTAATTGTCAGAATATTAATACTTTCTTCTTCCTTCCTTTTCAACTTGACTAAAGGGAAGACTTCCATTCAGCATTTATTCTCCCAGGTCCAGGGTCAAGACCCACCATGGACACTGGAACTGTGGGAGTCTGCCACCGCAGGATGGGTCCTCAGACACAACCCTGTAATTCATCCTGGTGCCCTTCCTTTCCTGGCATCTCTCACAACAGTGGTCTCCTCTGGCCTGTCCTCCACCAACATGCTAATGTTCCTTCTCCAGGTCAGGAAAAACTAATTGAGCAATCACTGAGCATTTATAATGAGCTGGAGTCTGAGTAGCAGTGGGATTAGCACAGTGCTAATGTGCTAATGAAGCTTAATGCGTTGGAGTATGACCCATCCCCAGACCACACTAAACAAGGGGGAAAATTAGGCTCACAGCAATGTCACATGATATAGATTCTGCCTATACCTGCTTTTGTGGAACCTCCAGCTGCCTCCAATTATCCCCATTTCACCTATTTCTGGGAGTACCCATACATTCCCATAAGCACTCAAATTGAGTTCTCTGAGCCACAACACAGTTAAGTAAGTATTTTCATTTCTTCAGCCACACTGTGGAGTATGCAGGTTTCCTGGCGTTGCATGTTTGCATAGGTTGCTCACGGACTTGTGGCCGTGATGCTGCTGCCCCAGCCTCCTTGAGGCCAGCTGAAATTCCAAAGCAGCACTGACTTGGGTGCTCAGTATCTCTCGGACTTTTGAGCTAAGCAGCTCTCTTATATTTCTGCTGAAGTCTCCTCCCCTCAGGTCCGTGGAGAGATGGAAGGAGGGGAGAGCCTACAAGGAAGAGGGGAAGTCATAGAACAAGATGAGCTGCGCTCAATTTATATTACTCTTCCCACTCTTTACCCAGGACATTTTTTTATTAGATGAAACTGTGAGCTTCACTTCTTTTTCTTTCTTTGCTTAAAGGATCTCCTCTCCCACCGCCCACAGACAGCATCTTTGTGGCTCTGATTCATTCATTCTTCAGAAATGTTCGGGCATTATGCCAAATTATTGTAAAGCTCATTGTTTACAAATATTAAGGTTATAAGAGACCCAGTAGTCAAACAAATGTCTATGTAAGTAAGTAGGCATTATCCATCTAGCTTGACTAGCCAGAAGTCTGCATGAAGACTTTTTTGTTTCTTCTATTTTTCAGGGTAATTATGTGAATTAAAATGCTCCTAGCACCTCCTGGTCTCTGCCGTTAGCATTTAGAGGCTCAATAATACAAACCTAGATTGTCCTGATATTTACAGTTAGGTAGCCATGAAGACAACATTGCTAAGTGGAGGCAGCCTGCCTGGTTTTGAATTCAGGTGCCCCAACTTTCCAGCTGAATCTCCTTGGACGAGTTACCTCAGTCCTCCAAGCCTCAGTTTCCCTATATTACAACATAGGATAAATAACACTGGTAATACCTATCCCACAGGTTGCAAGTCTTCACTGGGTTCATCAATAAGACCTAGAGCATTTCTAGACATGTATTAAAAGCTTGATAAACTTTTGTTCTTACTAAAGCATAATAAAAATATGCCCACTAAATATGTAAATGTAAGCATTTATATATAAATTCTTCCTCAGTAATGATGTGAATAAAAGTGAGAGAAGAAAAATTAAGATAAATATTGGCTTACTAAAAGAAAATTCTAAGCTGGATTCCTGAGAAATCTGAGATGTTTTTTTCAAAGGTAAAGTTCTGGAAAAGACAGACATGGGTGATATGCTTCTTACAACACACTACAGAAGGAGTGTCTGGGGACAATAGGAATGGGGGTCACAAAGTGTCCCTTTCAATGAATTGGAATCATTACTCTCTTTTATTTAGGCCAGCATAGTGCGATACTGTAGCCACTAGACGCATGTCTATTGAGAACTTAAAACGTGACTAATCTGAATTGAGATGCGGTATTAGCATAAAATACACACCAGATTTTGAAGACTTTGTATAAAAAAGAATGTAAAATATCTTATTGGAAATTTAAAAATATTGATTACATTTGAAATTATACTATTTTGGATATATATGTATTTAAATAAATATATTATGAAAATTAACTTTGTCTCTTTTTGCTTTTTTAATTGTGGCTGCTAGAAAATTTAAAATTATATATGTAGCTCACATTGTATTTCTATCTAACAATGCTGTGTTCCGAATACATTTGCAGCTTTTCTTGGTTGACTCAAGGATACACGGAAAGGACAGAACTTCTGGAGAAAGAATAAACTCTGGATTTAGACCTTCTGATTATGATCTTAAACAGGAACCTGAATGTCAGTTTTATTTTTGCTTTTTCCCCCCCAGAATCATAGGGATAATATGATTACCTAGGTCCACAAACACAGGTACGTGAAAAATACAGATTTATTTTTCCATAATTTGGAATTAATTTCTCTTATGAATGTCTATTTCATCTATTGGTGGAAAAAAATCTTAGTTAATTCAGGTTCACTTGCCCTATATACATAGTGTTTGCTTTTTCTTGAGCAGTGCTAAGGTAAGAGGGCGAGGAGCATATGATACTAGTTTCATTATTGATCTCTGCTGGCGTCAGCGGGGGCATTCCCTTGCCTGTCTGGGATTTAGTCATCAAGACTACTGTTTCCTTCTCATCCCCACTGCAAGGCCTCTTTGGGTACCCCGAGTTCTCTTTTCCATGTCAGACCCACTCTAGGGTTTATGAAAAATAGCCATCCAGTTACAGAACTTCCCTCAGAGGGGTATTAAGAGGAATAAACAAGATGATCCATGTAAAGTGCTTAGCCCAATGGCTGATACAAATGAAGCACCTAATAAAGGTAATTGTTATTGCTAATGTTGTTGTTGATACTGTTCTTGCTCTCAGCAAGTGCACTTTAGATTTCCAGAGATCTAGTTGCCAGAAAAGAGGTGAGCGAGGGTGCCATTTTCTGTTGCTTCATTTTTATCATTTGAGAGTGAGGAGAGCAACTGGATACATTGGAGGGCAACAAAACAAAATAAATAAACAAAAAACATTGGTCTCCAATTACTCTTTGGTTTCGATCAAGAGATTAGCAAGTAGGATTAGTGATGGGAAGACTTGTATGGGTATGTGAGTAGTGGCGTGAAGACTGGTAGATCTTCTCACATTGGAGGGTGCCATGGCAGAAATAACAATGACGTAAATATCTATTACGCGCCTCTGTTATGGCAGTATTGTGATAGGTGGCATGGAGGGTACAAAGGTAGTGGAAGTCACAGTCCATTTATTTCAAGAATTTACAACTGGATAGACAAGAAATACATCCTACATTTCTGAATTAGTGATGAGGGGGTTGGAAGACTGGCTGTTTCTGCATGGTCTTATGCGGTGGTGAGACTTTGGTAGGGGTGTCAAGGCTCAAGGCTACTGCTAAAATTTCAGATAAACTCAATTTGTTATCAATAGGTTTGTGCTAACAGGTATATCAGAAACTTATTCTTTGGGAAATTTAATGAGTAATCAGAATGTTGATGTAATAATGTACAGTGAAGGATGTTTCTTTCAAGGAGGGAGAATACGTGAGTAAAATTTAGTGACAGCCAGTACTCACCAGAATATAAGATGAATAATTTCCAGTAATATTCATTGACATTCATTTTTATCATCTGGTGAATGAAAGCTGATACTAAAGAGTTACTTTAGGTATATAAAATATATTTTTTAGTATCAAAATGTTATTTATTAATTATATTTTAAAATATGCAGATTGGGAAAGGTTTTTTTTTTTTTTTCTTTTTGAAACACAGTCTTGATGTGTTGCCTGGGCTAGAATGTAATGGTGTCATCACAGCTCACTGTAGCCTCAAACTCCTGGGCTCAGGCAATCCTCCTGCCCCAGCCTCCCACATAGCTGGGACTACAGGTGTATGCTACCACACAAGGCTATTTTTTTCCTATTTTTTGTAGAGATGAGGTCTTTCTCTTGCCCAGGCTGGTCTTGAACTCGTAGCTTCAAACAATCCTCCTGCTCCGGCCTCCCAAAGTGCTAGGATTACAGGCGTGAGCCACTGTACCCAGCCGGAAAATACTTTCAATGGTAGAATTTTTATAGATAGAATATTTCATATCAGCTTGAGGGAAACCAGTGTTTTGCAAAAGCATGGTTTGAAAATCACTGCTATAAATTTTAAATGCTTTAATACTGTCTTTATGGTGCTTTGCATTCTTATTTATTAGGAAATTAAGACATGATCTGACCTTTGAATGAGGTATTATGTTTGGGTTAGAATAAGGGAACAGGATATATAAGCTGGAGAGTGAGTAAAGTGCAGGAGAAGGGAGATGTGCAGACAGACTTTTACTAGAACACAGAGGAATCAAGTTAGAGGCTAATAGGAGAAAATACCGTTTGGAGGCTAGATTTGATAGACAATGTGATACTACTGAATGGTATTAAATTGCACAGTGGCACGAAGAGAATGATGTTTGTTGTAAAAAACCTGAACCAAAAGGCTTATAAATCTCTTAACAAGAATATTGGCAGTTGGAGTAATAATTTCTACTTAGCAATAGCTGTTGCTAAGATGTTAAGTATGAGATGTCATCTAATAAAATTTATTTAAAGTTGTTTTTCACCTCATGAGTTCCATTTTCCAAAATGTTAAAATTTCAGTCATAAAGGGGGATTATTTTGTGTTTAACTACTTTAAGCACTTGTTAAGAGTCACTTTACAAGCAGTTTTTTGAGACATTGTTTAGAGAATCAGCTATTCTGAACTATTATGTGAAATATAAATGTCTGACTTTAAAAACCCCCTTTGCCTCTCAAACTGTCTTTTTAGGAGGATAATTTTTAATAGGCTCTTTGAAAGAAAAGGTAGCATATGCCACTAACACACTTGATGTAGAGTTATTACCAAATCTTCTGGTTTCAATAGTTTCTCCCCATCTCTTCTAAATCTCATTTAATAATGTCAAATTGAGTTATAGAATATTAGAACTGTAAGAGTTCTTGAGCGTCATGGTTATGATCTCTTTGTTTTTTATTTGGAATTCTCTAAGGGATTAAAAGAAATACAGTTCTAAGTCTAGGTGCATCCTAGGGTCTGTACCAACCTTATCATTTGGCCAAAATCTCAACATTTCTTTTTATGCTCTGTGTCTAGAGCCAACTCCTTGTGTGTTTTTGTGGCATCTGGATAAAGATTGCTTTATCTAGTCCTTGAATAATTAATTTTGACTCAATTTCATAGAATTAATTCCCCCTCAAATAAATAGAATATGGCATATATAATTTCATGTCAATGTAGCAATACTACTTCCCACCTTCACTATGTTTTCATTAGTGTGATGGTTAATTTTGTGTGTTAGCTTGGCTAGGCCACAGTACCCCGATATTTGGTCAAACATCAGTCTAGATATTGCTGTGAAGGTATTTTTTTTAGATAAGATACACATTTAAATCAGTAGACTTTGAGTAAAGTAGATTACCCTTCATAACGTGGTTGGGCTTCACTCTATCAGTTGAAGGCCTTAAGAACAAAACTACTGACTCCCACAAGGAAGAGGGAATTTTGCCTACAGTTCTCTTTCCTATTTGAGCTGCAGCATTAACCTTTCCCTGAGTGCCAAGCCTGCCAGCATACCCTACATATTTTGTATGAACCAATTCCTTAAAATAAATCTCTCTCTCTCTATATATACATATATATACACACACATACACACACACACACACAGACACAAAGACACACGTATGTGGGTGGATATGTGTGTGTGTTTATCTATCTATCTTCTATTGGTCTGTTTCTCTGGAGAAACCTGACTTTTACAATCAGTCAATCATGATTAATGATCTACCTCTGGCCAAAATTCATCTACATTCCTACATGTTAGAGGTTAAAGTAGGAGACTAAAGTCAAATTTCAAAGATGAATGAATTAGTCTTTGTGAGCAAAGAGAAGAAAAGTGGAAACCCTAAAACAGGAAGAGAATGTACTCAACATGATTTCATTATTGTTTAAGAACTCAACCGCCCAAAGTAGAAGAATATTTCACAGTATCAGAAGTTAGTTATCACTAGGAACAGAGTCAGATTTTGCTTGTACAGTTTGGGGAGCTTTCTTTAAGAAAAAAAAGTTGGAATGAAACAAATAACTTACAATATTTGAAAAGCTGACAAGTACTGCGAACATAACACAATCCAGAGAGAAAATTATACTTTTGGCCAGGCGTGGTGGCTCATGCCTATAATCCCAGCACTTTGGGAGGCTGAAGTGAGAAGATTGATTGAGGTTAGGAGTTCAAGACCAGCCTGAACAAAAGCGAGACCCCATCTATACAAAAATTAGAAAAAAAAAATTAGCTAGGTGTGGTGACGTGCACCTGTAGTCCCAGTTACTAAGGAGGGTGAGGGAGGAGGATCATTTGAGCCCAGAAGTTTGAGGTTGCAGTGGGCACTCTAGCTGGGGCACCAGAGAGAGACCTTGTCTCAAAAAAAAAAATCATACTTTTACTAATTGTCTGATGTACATGTTGATTACTTTTTCCCTCCACAGTTGGTTTTTTTTTTTTTGTATATATTTTTGGTTGCCACTTTAGAATAGAAACGAAATTTATTTTATAAATTTCAAACCATGTTTATTCTTTATTAGCAATAAATTTTCATGCCGGACATCATAAGGTACGTTCAAGTGGAGATCAGACCTCTGGCCTGAGCGCTTGTGTGAGCACAATGGCTGAGTGTGTGTGGTGCTTATAGGAAGGATGTATTTCTGAAAGCCTCACCTATACTGGGATGACTGGCAGTAACTTAAATATATATTGAAGTGGCTGCAAACCACATAAATATATCCCATAAACCCCAAACTAAATATAGCCCTAACTTTTCCTTACCAGATTCTAAAAATGCCGCAGCCATTTCAAAAGCATCCTACCTGAGAAGACATGTGATGGGAGGGAATTCAGAACGGAAAGAGACACAGATCCTAAAATAAGATAACATA